TTATTATACTATATATATATATATATACTATAATATATATATATATGTTGTGTAATTTAACCACCAACAAAGATGTGAAGATAATTAGAAATTAACAACTTTAAGTGATCAATATAATCTTATATTCTGTAAATGTATATAGTTGAGTTAAGCCTACACTTGAAAACAAAGCCGGAAATAATTACTGAAGTTATTGCATCTCGTCACAGCAGACTGCTGAGCAATTTGTACATATAATTTAATATTTCTGTAATGCTTTATGATCAAAATTTGCAATTGTACTGCAAAAGATTACTTTGAAAATTCATTGTATGTTTACGAAAAAGAAGACACTTACTTTCCAAGTTTGCTTGGTTTTCAACAAATATGTGACATTTGAATATTTTAACTCTCTCAACACAGGTTTGGTCAAATTCACCAAAAACATGACCTCTTTAAACTTGTTACAGTTTCATTACTAATAAGTTTTAATATAGTAAGTGTATCTTCACAAAATTTGACAGACTTTCAGTAAATATTACAAGCTTTTTATATACAAAAAATCAGATTTTTTAATGAATTATTTTTATTAAAGATTTGTCCATGAATATATCGTTTTTCTTCTGACTAGTTTGATAGCAAAGTGATTTTCACATTAAGATTTAAAAAAAATTTTCTCATCTCAAAAATATCAAATTTCAATCGTGTAATCTCTAAAATCTTCTAAATACATTTCAAACTTTTTTCAGTAAAACTTTACATTTTATCTGTTATTTTCCCTACCCTAACTCTATACAAGTTTGTTCAATTTGACCAACCTCGTTACCACCAAAAAAATCTAAATTATCACTTTTTTCTTTCTAGAATAACTTCATATTGTAACATGAAACTACATTTGTTTATACTAAGTAGCTTTAAACTTATAAAAGTATACAACTATTTAGATATGAATTTTATTGTTTTATTGCTCTTTGAACCATGTCTAACTATAATTCGTGCCATTATAAGTTGTAAATCACTTGGGACACGTTACACTATCGAATTACATTATACCAAGTTACTCCAAGCTGCTCATGTGCATGACTCATGAAAATTTATTATATTACTATTATTTATTTTTCCTAATCTAAAGAGTTTCCAATTTTTATATTTTAGTTACTTTATAATAATAAAGAAAGAACACACATGAGAAACAAGAAATAAAATACTTACTTGGGCTTTCTTTTTATATTTTTTTTGTTGTTGTTGACTGTCAATGACACTTAAGCCTACTTTCTTTTAAACTAATAGTAGTACTGCACTAAATAATTTTATTGAATTAAATAATGCACTAGAGGACAGAATAATAACATGTGAAAAGCAGACAATGTCTCATAACTATCAGAATTTTTCTGACTTTCTAATGATGTGACAAGAACAATTACAAATTCATCTAAGCTAAGTCAATGCATTTCCTGGGGGGAATGAAGCTTATACTGAAAGAGATCTATTGACAAATCCTGAAAGAGAAGATGTGACAGGTGTGCGAGGCAAGAGGGGTTGGATTTTCTATTTGATGGTTCTGTAACCAAACAAGATTGATGGCTATGAAAATTATGCTTTGCCTGAGTGATAACAACATTATAATGAGTAATTTACGTTAAATTTCGTACTTCGTGGAGGGGTGGTAAATAAATTAGAGAAGAGGGGATGCTTGGAGAGCAAATGTAACAATTCTCACAGTAGGTAAAATCAGATTTTGTTTAATATGGCTTTATAAAATTAAAAAGTAAAAGCTTATATACTATTAAAATATAGATTATTAGCTATAATTTTATGCTATGCTATATGGTATGACATGAACAAAAAGTAGTTTAATTAAATATTGAATGTATCTCGCCAAAAATCTCGAGACATGCACAGAGAAAGATGCCCATGGAGAGAGGGTTAAACTACTTCCAAGTGGAATGTAATAGATGTTTTTGCATAACCAGCAATCAAAACAAACACTTTTGTATGACTGCTCTGTATATTTCAAAGGAACAGAAATTATATTGCTTACCTCATTTGGGTGCTTTCTATAAAATTCTTTAATGGATCTTAAACGAGTATAGAACTCGGCAAATTCATTTGGACCAGATAATGTAGAAATTTCTTCCTTTCGTAGGCTAAATATAGAAACACAAGTATCTAATTATTCGGCAAAACTTACCTAAAGAAATATATACAAAATATTCTATAGTAAACACACAAAGCATAAACATTTGATTAAATATCAGAAATAATATTTAGAAAGCTTACATCAGTTATCACTTGGTTACATCTAAATTAAATTTGTTTTTCAGTAAGTTCACATATGTATATAAAAAATTTTCAAGAACAATAAAGTCCACTACTTCCTAAAATATTTTTTTTTGTTTATTTGACTTATTGTATACAGGCTTGGTTATTTTGAATGACCTAGTAACTACTATGTAATGATGAAACTATACATGATATAATTTTAAATCTACTAAGTGTATCTTCACCAAATTCAACAAACTTTTCTGTTTTATGCAAAAAATCTGATTTTTAAACAAATTTTTTCTATTACACAATTGCCTATAAATTTAAGAAAAACTTACAAAGTCAGTTTGAGTGAAAAGTGATTTTCATACTAAGAATAGAAATACTTTTATAATTTTTTAATCTTCAAAGTTTCATATTTCATTTGTATAATCTCTAGAACTTTCCAAATCATGGTCCAAAGTTTCATCTTTTGGTATAAATATTTCTCTTATTTTCTCTACCCTTACACTAATTGCACTGAAATCATCTATAGCAAAAGTTAAGAAATATAAAATCAAATCAAAAATTGATATTTTTTTCTAGAATGACTGCAGATTGCAACAGACAATTACAATTATTCATCCTAAACAGCCACAAACCCCTAAAAGTTTCACATCTGTTTTAATTGAAATTTATTGTTCTTTCAGTAGTGTCTAACTACCATAACAAATCATTAAGTCACCTTCCGAAAACTCATAATAAACAAACAATTGAGTTATATCACATAATGGTAGCCCACATGCATCCTTCAAAGAGACATTTTATTTTTTATTATATATAAATCTAGTAAGGTTCTGATTTATAAATTTTAGTTAATTTTGTTAGAAAATATATCACAATAAATAAAAACATATACATATATTCCAAGAAGTTTAGCATTTACTTTATCTGTCAGACCATTTGCATTTGGGTGCATAGTTTGGTAAACTTAATTTTTCTCACGATGTTGATTGATCAAAAGCAATTCGTGTAGCTTTCAAATATGCATTTTTGAACAAATAATCTATCAGGCACTAGAATAGAATGTCCCAAAACTACTATAATTTGTCTGACTTTCTAGCTGATGTATAAATAGATTAAAAATTCCATTATTACTATGAGTAATTTCTTTAATCTGAATGCAGCAAGTTCTCCCTGCGAATTATCAGCTTTGGTGGCTAAAACAAAACAGACATTCATTTGATTTACATAGTTTAGAATACGCTCTTTCTATTGGTTATAAACATGTTCAGTAGTTATGTCACAGAGAATTCTACACACTGCTTGAAAGACAGAGGAAATGGGAGAAGCATGTCAATGTGGGTTGAAATTGTGTATTCTTGACTTGTCAATATCTATACACATTTATAACTGGTTGAACAATATGAAGCCCTTTTAATGGAATAGAAAAAACTACAAATAAAAGTTATAGCACTGCAAAACCATGACTGAGAGGTGCAAACTGAAAATATATTTAAATATTTCCTTTTGAAATTAAGAAATTAAAATATAAAACTTGAATCATAAATCATTTTGAATGTAACTCTAAAAAGTCATGATGTTAGAAAAACACATAGGTTCAAAAAGTATTGATAGAAATGAATAAAAACCCTATAACCCGAGCACTTTCAAAAGGCCCACCTTTCTTAAGCACTCAGGTTATAGGGTTTTTATTCATTTCTATAAAGTCATGACATGCACACAGTAGTACAGAGTTAATTCATAGAAATTAAACAGCCAATTTAATTTGGATGCTATTCCCCTGAAGACAATTTGAGTACCCTACTGGAAAATAAAAGCATTACATGTCTAGGTTTTCCCCTGCTCATCACTTTGCAGAACATGTTTTTGTATTATGCACTCTGCAAATAACCACTTCTGATTGATTGTTTCCTAAGCTGCATGCATATCTCCTACAGAAGTGAGAAATATCTACTGCATGTATGTTTGTGTGTACATAGATATTTTTTGAGCTACTTGAGGAAAGAAGTTGATTAATATGTTTTTCACAGGAGGTTATTTAAATACGAATTTATTCTTTTAAATTTATTTACACCTGGCAGTGGACAGTCAGAAATTTTCATATATTAAAGTACGTATATTTCGACCACCAAGTTGATCATTTTCAAATACAATGTTGTATGTATTCTAACCTACAAAATGTCTAACTACCCACTGTAAGCTGTAAATAAATTTAAATATTACTATTCAGTGGAAAAAAATTCACCCTATTCAATGAATTTATTCTATTTCCATCAATTTTAATATAGTTTTCCAGAAGGCCTATCACAGTATAACAACTGCCACTCAGCCTTGAGACACAGAAATATTTTTGAGTCATTTCTCTGCTGTACTTTTCATATATGTAAAATCTGGTTTATTTAAGCGGTTGTGAGTAGTTACTTCAAATGTGTTTTTGAGAGGGAAACAGTGGAAGTGATAATTGACTCCACCTGATAAAAGTTTATAACCAGACACAACTAATTTTAAGATCTGCAGTTACTGATCATGACAAAGATTTTGCTGCCACCAGTGAAATTATGTTCTATTTATCTCTCCCATTCTAAAATTTACAATCTAATCTATCATTGTAACAAATATTGAACAGATGCTTCCTTTAACATATCATCAAGAATCTAGCTATAATCCACAGTCAGCAATTTCATTTAACTAATCAATTATTCTCATTAGACTTGGATAGTTGGATTAATTGATAATAACAATAATAAGTTCAATTAGTTGATTATTGTTGTGTTTCATGACACTAAGCTGAACAACTTTAAATTAATCAAAAATAATAAGAAATCATAATGGCAATAATTCAATTCCTTAGATAGTTGAAATAATCAAAAACACTAATTTTGGTTAGTCTATTATTTTCATGACATTAATTAATTTAATCATTATTTCATTACTCAATTATTTTACCTAACATTAATTGGTGCTCACAGGAAATAAGTTATATCAATTAATCAAGTTAATTGTCTAGCTCTAAATATGTTACTAATGATATACGAGTTAAATAATGTTTGTATTATTTACTAACAAAATCAAACTTATCAATGTTATTACAAATCTAAAGTTATTAAGTAACTGACCTTTTGTATGTTGGATGTTTTAAAACTTTGTACTTACCTGTAGATGTTGTAGGCTTCATGTTATACTGTTACTGATAAACAATATGAAAACTTTAAATGCTTGGCTGCTGAATACATAGGTACCAATATCCAGCTAAACTGAATACTTTGCAAAACATGCAAGTAGGACAGTTACAAAATACTTAGTAAATACTAGTTACAACCCTACTTAAAACATAAAATAACAGACTGGATGGAAGCCATTTAACCCTGTCTGGGATTGGGGGATTCCTTTTACCTTGTTAATTTCATTCTTACAATGCAAATACATATTCAAATGCATGAATTTTAGTAAAACTTACTAAATTTGTGTTTGTTTAATTTCAAGCAAAGCTACACAAAGATTATCTGCACTAGCCATCCCTAATTTTAAAGTGAGAAGGCAGGTAGGTAAAACCACTCATCCCCAACTCTTGTAAGATGAAGTAGTGTAATTTCAACCATTCTTATAATGCATCCAAAGTTTAAAAGTTTGGATCTTAATCTTTTGTTGTTTTTTTACTGTAGTGAGATGTGAACCATGGTATCTTAAATCCACAGTTGAGCACACTTAACTTATAGGTCACACTCAGCACAACTTAATAAATAGTCTAGTCTAGCTTTAAAAATATTATATAATTTAATTTATTTTAATTTTTAACATAATAAATTTTATTCAGATACTATGCTTTGAAAAAAACATTGAAAACAGTTACTTTTGTCATAGATTTCAATTTTCTTTATTCTCGAGTGAAAATTTCCATTCAACTTTGTTGATATTCATTAAAATATTTTAAATGATACTTTATTTTGTCAACTTCAGTAGTCACAACTTCAGGCTATAAATCATACAAAACATAACAAAAACTAACAGACAGTTATAACTGACCTAGGAAATGACCTGTCAAAATGGAATCAGGTCAGGCTAAATTATAATATTTTTGATAATATCTTGGTTGAGATTAATTTGTATGTAATAAATAGTTTTTTTTCAATGAATAACAAGTTATTTTATGTACACACATTATGTGAAGATTACAAAACAAAAAAACATTCCATAAATATGGAATATTCTGATGTCTCCTACCATATTATCTAATTCTAGTTTGGCTTACCTGATATTTTTTAATAGAAGATAATTTCCATAGCTTTCAAATAAGCATAATATTTTCCAATAGGAAAAGAACATTTAAGGAAACTATAAGAAAATTACAACATCTGTAGTCTGTTCCTAAGTTTTCCAAAGACACAGTATAGTGGGGCATGCTCACCTCAACTCTACTGGACAGTCGTATTAAATTAGATAAAGCTTAAAATAAAAAAAAAAAAATTTTAACAGGCCCTTCATGAACGAAAGGGGGGACACTTTGGTTGAAAAAAAACTACCCTATCCAGTTTTTTCTTAATCTGAATTTTAAAATTTTTTGACATATTTATTGGCTAAAAAGAGGCATTTCTCATACTCTTTTAGCATTGGGGCTGCAAAAAGTGATTTGAAGTGGTAAGGTGAACGAAGCATGGAAGTCTCTAAATGACACACAAAGGTATTCAGGAATCATTTAGAATCATCTTGGTATATATTGTGCAGCAAGCCAAGTACACTATTATGGCAGTAGCTGCTTTCAAAGTGTTCCTATTTGCTCATCCTACTGTTGACTACTGTGATGCTTCAACCTTCACTATCAAATTGCAGGTGCAATTGTTCATATCTCAACTGAAAGTAAAACATAAAAAGGTGATAGCAG